ACCTGTTGAGAGATCAGGTTATTTAAAGTGAGAAGGTTTTTTAATGTCTAACATTGTTCAGTGACAGTTGAGCTGTGAGGTGCAAGGTCTTGTCTCGGTCTCAGACATTGAAGACTTGGGATTTTATTTCAAGGCCAGTCAAGACCATAACTTTGTGAACATCAATACATTTCTTTTGCATTGTCTGATTTGTTTGTTAACATCCTAACTTTGATTGGATGTAAAACGTATTGCTTCAAATGCAACCAATAACCCTAATTAAAAATGTGTTTTTCCCATTAACGACTTTCACCCCACAAAAGCGATGGTAAGCATGGAAAAGGAGTGTTGAATAAAGATGCTTACGTTGATTTCAGCTCTTAGTGTTTATATGTGGGTGTTTTAATGGGAGTGTAGATATTTCAGATCAATTTGTCGTTCCACATTTTATTGTGTGTCATGTAATGTGGTCTTGGTCTCCCTCGGTCTTGGTCTCGACTTGGTCTCAGCCCCTAAAAGCCTTGGTCTTGTCTCGGTCTCGATAAACTCTGTCTTGACTTGGTCTCGGTTTGGACAGTCTTGACTATAACACTTCCTACAGTCATATCAAATAAAACACTGCTGTCTTTTCTATGCATCCTGACGACTGTTTTCCGTTCTTATCACCTCTGCAAAAGTTTAAAAAGTGAAATTTACCTTTGAAAGCTGCGAGACCACACCTGAATGAGTTCAATGTCTGATGTGCTGTCCTCTCCATCCAAACAGTCTATGGTAAATATGGTAAGTGATAACGTGCAGTAATCTGCATTTTCTCTTTTAAGGAAGTGAAACAGGAAAAGATATGCATTAGGTCCTTCCTGTTGGCCAGAGTTTTGAAATAATATCTGATAAACATTATTAGTGTGAAAGCTGCTATTTTCTCCTGCACCGTTTGTCCTAGAAATTTCTAAATGTACATCCTGTTCAGGAGATGGGTGCTATTACTTTTATTGCGGACATCTGTAATGGTTGATTATATATTAATATTTGTTATGCATTTTAAAATGAATGGGTTTCAATGGGAGCAGAAGCTCAACTTTCTTCCAACCTACTCAACTTTAAGAGCTAAATTCTCTGGCATATGTGCAGCTACAGACTCCATTTTTGCAAGTTGCAGAAAAGATGTTAATCTTTCCAGAGTCTGGAGGAGAGGCAGCCTCCACAGCTGGACAGGAAGCTGTGACATTAAAGGTACAGCTTGTGACTGTTTCTGCTGGATCAAAAGTGATGGTGGACAGGAGCATTTCAGCTTCATGGATGTGATACAGCGTAGAGATTATTTCTTCTGGCTCTACAATCTTGTGCCATTACAGGGCTAAAAATTGCACAAAGGTTTTATGAACAGCTGAGGTAGTATCTGGAGACAGGGAGAGCCTAGGCCTCCATCCTGGAGCATGCAGCGTTGGAATGGTTTTAGCAAAGTTTTTTGGTGTTTGCTAAAAAAAAGTGGTTAGTTTAGGAGCTATGTTCTTCCAAAGTAAAGGGTTTTACAGCTTTTTAGAGACTTCATCAGTGTGTCATGTGATGACTTGGAGCAGAGGTCGCCAAATAAGTCTGGCATCGGGCCACATATTTTTCAAGCTGTTACATGGCAGCGCAGAACAAAGTCAAATTATTTCAATCCCTTGCTTATACATGTACTCGTTTAACTCAGTCGACAGAGTGCGGGACGCCTGTTTGGAGAGTAGTATGATCGATCCCAGCATCCGGCGGACTTTTTTTTTCTCCCTTGTTTAACAAATTGATTACAAGGACACTTTTGCACATGCTCAGAGTAACGCATGTGCTGCCGTGTGTGCGCGTCCCAGCGTTTGAGCCACATTCACAAACCTATGGAACGCTTATTTTCATTTCCACGAGTAAATTCAGGGGAATCCAATCACAATTTTTCAGAGGTGTGTCAAGCAAGCCAGTGACTCTTCAGAACTTTTCAAAGTAAAAGCTCTCAATAAACTCGACATAAAGCATTGCTGCAAAAAAACGTGTGCTTTTATTTTGTAGGCACATTAACTTAAGAGGGAGTGATTAAGTGAGATCTGTTTCAGCACCTGCCGCTATCAATTTATTTATTTTTAATTTTTCTGCTAACAAAGCAATGTGGCCACCGGCCAGATATTATTGCTGGCGGCCCACCTTGTTACTGATTTGAGCATGTGCAGCTTTATGTATTTTATTCAACAGCAGTGGACTGGACCTCAAATAAAATATATTTACAAGCTAAACAGTGGTGTGCCAGGAATGTTTGGTCATTGAGCGCCCTCTGTTTATGCTTTGGAGGCATTTCAGGCAGGTCAACAACCAACAGGACGTCGGCCATTTTGGATTTAATTGTCATATTTGGCGATTTACACACTACTTACTTTAATGAACTCCTCCTAGAGTATTAGTCCAAGCGACTTAAAATTTTTGCTGTGTAGTCTTATCCCATTGATGATTACACGTTGTACTTGGTGAGTTATGGTCGACCGTGGAGGCCCGTGGCGTGGAGTGGAATATCGAAGTTGTTATAACTTAAGTGTACATGCTCACACCTGTTCCAAATTTGATGATAACATATCCCACCTTGAACACATCCATATGCCAACATTCACCCAAGTCATTGCGCCATGCGTAACGCTGTGGTATGTTGCCAATATGAACTTGAAAACTGTCCCAGAAAAGCCTCAACCCAGTGATGATGCTACGTTGTGAAGCTTGTGAGTTTTCAGTTAGCAAAGTTCCACGCTTTGCCAAGACACAGGAAGTTGTTGTATCTTCACTGTACACAACTTCATTGCACATTCTCAAATAAGTACCAAACTTTATGTGACTGAGAATGGACCAGCCCTCAACACATCTACATGCCACAATTCAGGTATAGTCATAGCGCAACCAACTGGCAACAGGACGTAAGCCCTGTGTGACACTCACCATGCAATTTAAATAACATTTTCTCAGTGTGTTCCACACTTGATGTACTGCGACATAAGTTACTGGGAGCTCTTTTACACCACATAGGGGACACAGAAAGTGACTTTTAAGTACTTTGTGCAGCGTCAGTTCAGAGCAGCATCGGGAGAGCTGCGGCTTCTGCAGTGCGTATTTTAACTGTACTAGTCTGTGGCACAAGATTCTTTTACCTGTAGGTAGTGCTCTAGGATTTTAAAAAAGGCTGAGGGAGCAGTACTCAGCAGCAGCATTGGTAGCAGTCACTGCTGACAGCTCTCACATGCATTTACTTTAGTAGACATGACTGCCTGCCTTCACCTCAGCTAGAAGTGTAGAGGAGCTGATTTGAGTATCAAACACTACCTGCATTTGTTGTACATGTATATGTATCTGTAGTCCTTCTCTGTAGTCCTCTGCAGCCAAACAGTACATGCAGCAGTTATGTGGGGGTTAATGACGTGCAGGAGCTTCCTAATGACATAGCGTGCTAAATGAATGTAGTGGAGGAAAGAAAACTATGGTGCTGTTGTAAGTCCCTTACATCTCAAGAGACAAAATGAATAAATGTCCTGGATTTTGTCATTTTCTTCACCACAGTAAGCAGCTTCTTTTTAAAAACAGTCACAGGAAACGCATGTTTTTCTCACTGGGGTTAGAGCTGATAGTGATCGTTCATTGATTGTTTGTTTGACTTCAATGTGAACAGATGCACCAGTTGTTCTTGTGTTGTATTTCTGACATTGTTACACTATATAAATAAACCTAATTTATTACTCAAATGTCATTGTTTTGCCTCAGCACTTTTAATGACAGCTGATGCTTGTAAGAATTAGAAGTTGTTTTTTTTATGTGCCCTCTAATAGAAATTGTTATATTCCCAATGATGTGACTTAAAGGCAGCCTACATGTTACATTACCATGTTTTTTTCAGATACTGGAACCTGATTGCAGCCATGTAATGCTACATGTGCACTATTTGTCTCAAAATGTTGCCTTAATGTGCACTGAATCACAAATGTTTAGTGGTGATACTGATAGTGATTCGACACAAACCAGTTGGACCATTCAGATACTAAGGAGATGGTCATTTTGACTTGAATCTTATTTTTACCCCCACTTCGGTATCTGTTATATCCAAACTTTGAACACTGTTAACAAATTTCATGAATCATCCCTGTAATGCTGACTAAAAGCAGAAAAGCAGAAATGCACTAATTCATAGACATGAAGTAAACCCAATTGGGTAAGTGTGCTGGTGTGCATGTACTGAAGAATTAAATTAAAATTTGACCAATTTAATAATAATCTGGATAAAGGCCCTAAATTCTTAAAAGAATTCCAGCAATATTGTTGTTCCCATTCATGCCAATAAAGTAATTTTGAATTTGAGAGGAACAAAGAAATGAACATGTGATATAAACGCAGCAGTTTGGCAGTTCTGGATGCAGAATGGGCCACATCTGCTCCGGATTCTGCTGACAGAGAGAAATAAACATGAGCACATCGCTCTCAAACACTGCCAAGAGCTGTGAAACAACAGCACGGCTCTGTCGGTAAATAAAAAGGAAAAGTTACGTTACGTTCCCAGGTGGACCCGGACTCAGCTGTAAACACACCACAGGGCTAACGTTAACGCTGCTATGTGGCTGTGTTTTAATGTTTTAATGACCGGGTCTGTTTGTTTTGGAGAGGAGACGACCCCTGAGGTCATTCGGCTCCCAGTAGAACCCTGTCAGGGCACTGAAATGGAGCGGACCCAGAACAACTCTCATCAGCTGTTAGCTGTAAACACTAGCAGGACTAAAGTTACGGTACGGCTGTGTTAAAACTATAGCACAACATCACTGCGCTGTAATAACGTTATGTTTTATTAAATGTCACATTATTAACAAAATATCTATTTAATGTCAGTCCAGTGACCTGACAACTGGCTTGCCTCATTTTCCGGCGCTGGTGGAGCTCATGCAGCTACCGTGTGACGAGAAAACATAAGAGTCCAAGACTTTTCACGCATAATTCACTGAGTTGGTCAAAGACAAACATTCACAGTTTTGTCTAGAAACAGATTTTTATTGGATTGAATAAAATGTACAATTTTGATATAAACTGACATGTAATGTGGTATGATGTGGCATAAAAATAGCATGCCTACCGGTAAAACACCAGTGTTGGCCAAACTAGTTTTAAATAAAGATAAACAAACAATATGTAGTTCACTAGCAAGGACCACACCACAACAATGGTGATTTAGAGAAACATGCAAATATGGAATGCAGGGATTATGGTGGACGGATTAGTGCAGATAGAAGGCAAGGGTGATGGTGGAAGAAGGATGTCGTCTGATAGGCTGGTCTGAGATGGTGGACAGAAGACCAGGCAGAGAGACTCAGTGTGGGGGTTTCGTCTCTGAAGTGTTTTTGCCTGAGATTTCAAGACCCCCCAGACGGTACCTAGATGAGACATGAGAGAGCTGTGCCCTGATTAAATAGGAAGGGATGAGTGGGGGACGCAAGAGGGGATGAAGGGATGAGGGAATGCGGGGATGGGGGATGATGGGATGAGGGATGAAGGGATGAGAGGAGCAGGGATGGGGGATAGAGGAAAAGGAGGATGAGTGGATGTGTATAGGGATGAATGGATGAAGGGAAAGGAATGGTGGGTCGAGCGATCTGAAACAAGTGTACTGTTAAGCGTGTGCTGTTGAGTGTGGATCATTGTCTGTCTTGTGTCGAGCGATCCGAAACAAGCGGGGCAGGCTGAGCGGAGCTGTATATGTAGCCTTGACAGGTGATTGGAGGTGTGGTTGAGGCGTGGACCCGCTCCCAAACCTAAGTTAACAAATTAAATTCATTTGTGTTTTCTATTTGTACAAAAAATAACAATACTTTTTAATAAATACATTTTTGGGAAGAGAAACATTTGTTACAACGAAAAAAGTAAACAACTACATTAAAATCTTCATGAGTGACCAAAAAAGATCAAGGTCCTATATCTGTCTAGTCTCTGTCTACACTTTCTATTCACCTACATTTCTTCTCCCCCCCTTCTCTCTCTCCCTCTTTCTCTGCCTACATGAAGCTGACTGTGGAAATGTTGTCATCATTCATACTGATGAAATGCTGATTTCATTGCTGTCCATTCTGCAACAACACACAGAGGCCAAAAACTTGTCAATGGCTCCTTTCCTCATGAAGACATACAGGACTAAGTCTGCAAGAGGACTCAGTTTAGCAAACGTAAATGACAGGGTGTTGAGTGTTTCGTTAAAGCGTGATCCTAGAAACCAAATGATGTTGGGCAGGAACAGCACCATGTAAATAAGCAGCACCAGAACCAAAATTCCAACTATTCGTCGTTTTTCTTTGGAGGGCAGCGCAATGGAAGCAGACAGGGCTCTGAGGGTCCCAACTAAGAAGAAGATTAACAGTGGAAAGGGAAGTAGAAGGAAGACAGCCAAGATTATGTCTGTGACCACATACTTATCCCAGAAATAGTAAGGGATAACACAGATAAGAGGAAGGACCCAGACCACGACACAGACCTCCACAGAGGTCTTGATGGTTCGTCTGTAGCGGTACCACAGCGGGTGGACGATGACCAAATACCTGTAATACAAGATGGACACAAAGTCTTTGAGGAGCTTCAGAGTTATAAACTAATATAATGTTCAGACACAGAAGGAGCTCCACACATACTGGATAGACAGATAGATACCTTTCCAGGGAGATGCAGACCATGAACCCAACACTGGCCATCATGCCGAAGTGATAGACAAATACATAAAAGATTTCATATATCTTCGAATCCCAACGTTCTGCCACCTCAACGATCATGTAGCAGAGCTGAAGCAGGTCAGAAATGAAAAGGTTGATGAGGTAGATCGGAGCAACATGATCACTTCTCACCTGCAGGAAAACATTGGCAAAAGCAAACAAGCTGTTGTAAAAATGTTGTGAAGTCCACCTCCTCCAAAATCTGTCATCTTATGCTGCAGTCAGAGCCATTAACTCTCCTTTGACTGTTAGAAACAGTGCTTGAAGTGGGCTGGCACCTTATTTTTTGCGCACTGGCACTCACAAGCTGCCGGTCCTTTCCTCGGCCCTCTCCATATCAGGTGACGTGGGGGGGGGCATGTTAACAGAGGTTCATTATGTTGTCATTGGATTTACTGAGGTCACACAATTTTTAAATTTTCAAATGGTTTTCTCGTAAAGTTTTGAATTTAGAACATAAGATGAGAAGTTGGGAGCAGAGTCCCTCCCCTCTGGTAGCCAGCTCTATCTGTGGGGACCCTTTTTCATGACCGGTCTGTGTTCACGCAGTCTGTATGAAGCAAACTTATTTCTTAGTTTAGGACATTTTTATTATTTTTTCTTGTTGATAATTTGGTTTGGTCTGCTTGAGTTGGCGTTTCTGGCTGAAGGTACAGCTATGTGATGGTATGTCTGGGGATTACTTGACTTAAGTGATTGTTAAATGTAATTGATCTTTTATGTATTTTAGTAAGAGGGGGTATCGGCCGAGTTCTGGTGTTTTTCTCTTCACCTGCAGGATGTTCTTACAGAGCTTGGTGTGATTTTATGATTGTTTTGTCCCATCTTAATAGAATAGAATAGAATACAATCTTCATTGTCATTGTACATGTAACACAAAACTGGATGCAATCTAATCAGTGCAACATCAGTAAAGTGCAAACAGGTATATAAATTTAAAAAATCCCCTTAAATTAGCTATAAAAATATATAAAAAGGAAAGTAAAGACACATCTCACACACACACACACACGACAGTCCACTTCACAATTCATTCCTTAATATTGCATTATTCAAGCAGTGTTTAGTACTGTTATCTATTTGTTTGCGTTTTAAAGGTTCAGTTTGTAAGACTTAGTGGCATCTAGCGGTGAGATTGCGAATTGCAACCAACTGTCCAGTCCACCACTGCCCCCTACCATTTCAAAGAGCATAGGACAGCTACAGTGGCTGACATAGGCCAAAAGGTGTTTCTTCTGGGACAGCAGAGAGTAGCCAGTCAAGAAATAAGGTTTCTTTAGGTAGATATGTTGAGAAATTATATTTACGAGTGTTGCGTTTTTCAAAGAATGTTCCGTTCATTTGTACTAATCTTGTATATGACTCAAGAGGAACGAGTAGTCTGAAAGAGTAATTTGTTCATTTTCACGCATCCGTGAAAAGTCTTGGACTCTTATGTTCACTCGTTAAACACACAGTAGCTGCATGAGCTCTGTCATTACAGGAAACTGAATTGATAGTTCATGACGCTCAACTGTGGGTCTCTGGGTTTGAGTCGTTCATTTGTCACGTGACAGCTCGGCTGCTGTGGAGCAGGATGGATCACATGGGTCCTCCTCAGAGTCTTCTGACTTACTGCCAGCGCCGGAGAATGAGGCAAGCCAGTTGTCAGGTAACAGTCACTGGACTGACATTATCTATTTTGTTAATAATGTGACATTTAATAAAACATAACGTTATTACAGCGCAGTGACGTTGTGCTATAGTTTTAACACAGCCGTACCGTAACTTTAGTCCTGCTAGTGTTTACAGCTAACAGCTGATGAGAGTTGTTCTGGGGCCGCTCCACTTCCCTGGCAGGGTTCTAGCCGAATTACCTCCGAGGTCGTCTCCTCTCTAAAACAAACAGACCCGGTCATTAAAACTTTAAAACACAGCCACATAGTAGCGTTAATTTTAGCCCTGTTGTTCCACAGCTCCTGACTGGTGAACAACCTTTGAGAGCTGGATGTGCTCATGTTTGTTTCTCTCTGTCTGCAGAATCCAGACTTCATGTGGCCCATTCTGCCAAACTGCTGCGTTTATATTATGCGTTTATTTCTTTGTTCCTCTCTCTGCACTGGAATTCTTTTAAGAACTTTATCCAGATTGTTATTAAATTTGTCGAATTTTAATAAGAGTGTGTTTTATTCATATAATGTGTTATTACTTCAATACATTCCCAGCAAATCTGATGTTGACATATAGATGTTACTCACGGAGAGGGATGTTAGACTATGAATGATCACTTTAGAGATATAATGATAGTAGTTATAATTATATATACATATATATGGCTGGCCTGGTTGTATACTCAGGAAAGATTGTGAAAATGGACGGATTTAGCCGGAGTAGTGGCAATTGTATTTTGACAACATATTTCTGTGGTTTTTACGCAGTTTGAATTTGGTTGTGGCCCCGTGGGGCTTTATCGAACGATGAAAGATCAAGAGGTGAATTTCTGCATTATACTTTGTCAATTAAAGCAACCCAGCCAGCCGTCTGTGTTTGAGAACTGCGCTGTTTTTTTACACCAATGAAAACACAGTTATGGATATTATATTGCATTTCTATCAATAGATAGATAAATATTACACACTGGTCCTTTTATTGTCCTGAAACATCTGTCAGCAGTTCAAACAGAGAGTGTCCGGCGTGTGATAAATCTTTTAGTATGTTCTGAGCTTTTTTGAGACAGGGGGGATTGTAAGGAATCTGCCAGGGAGCTGAGAGAGCAGGTTGGCCCAGAAGATTACTGGCTGCACTTTCAAGCTGTTCTCACTTCTAACTCGTCACACGTGTGAGAATGTCAGAGACCCTCTACACACATTCCCTGCTGATGAACACGGGCTGAAAATCTGTTTTATTCCTCCTGTTTATCACACATCTCTTAATGCAAACACTCATCAGTGTTGTATCCTGGAGTATTTCGGGTCTTGCAACAGACACCCTCATCCAGGCAACCCAACCGATGCTGATCAGACCTCGGCCTGTGTCTGAGTTTTAGAGAGATTTTAATGGAAATGTAGATTTTAATTTTTCTTCAAATTGCATAGAAAGCTCTCCTTGCTTTCGCCCTCAGATCTTTCACAGCCACGTTGAGGGTTCATGTGTATGTAATGTTGAAGCTAAAGTATGTGAAGTGTTTTGTATGTTTTAATTTAGTGGTGTCTAAATAAAAATTGTGTATTGAACTGATTTCTGGATTGTTTCTGAAAGATCATTATATTAGTCTTTGATGTGTTTACTGTCAGTGCCCAGGTCTGAAACTCACTCTCGCTCCCTCCTGATTGTTGTGACTTGTTTATTATTACATCACCTCACCTTTTTTTAACGATAAACAAGTTGCATCCTAATGTATTAATAATTAATTAAGATTATCATCATTCTTAACAGACACATAACAGTAAATAAATAAATCATAATCAGAATTTACATACCATATAAAAAAGTGCATAGATGGCCATGAGGGTCGAAGGAAGACCGAGAGCAATGATCATGCATGTCACCACATACTGGGTATCGACAATGAAGTTGCTGTAATTATAGCTTTTGTTCTGTGAGGTGCTGTTAGCGTAGAAATCTTCCATTCTTCAGAGTGAAACCTGTCGTTCGAGAGATCAGGTTATTAAAAGGGAGCAGGTTTTTAATATCTACCTATCATTCAGTTCAGTGCCATCACTAAAGCTGTGAGGTGCAAGTTCACACAAATACAGTTCACCCATAGTTTACACACAGTCATATCAAATAAAACACTGCCATCTTTTCAGTTTTATATATTCATATAAATATCATCATCATCTCTACAAAAGTAAAAAAAATTTAATAAGTCACATAATGTACCTTTGAAGGCTGCGTAATCCCACCTGAATAAGTTCCCTACACCAACATCGGATGTGTTGTCTTCCGCTTTTTAACAGTCTATAGAAAATATGGTAAGCGATAACATGCAGTTTCCTGTTAATCTGCACCTCCTCTTCTAAAGGAAGTAAGAAAAAAGTAGTCTGGCACAAATATGCTTTAGGTCCTTCCTGCGGGCCAGAGTTTTGAAATAATCTCATGATAATCATTATGTGTTAAGTGGTCTTTAACTTCTATTGTTTATTTGTGTATCTTAGGAGGCGTTGAATGTCCTTTGGTTGTTGTTGTCTGTTGTTCGTATCTGTAACTCTGCTCTGCTGCTGCTTTGGTCAGGTCTCTCTTGAAATAGAGATTTCAAATATCAGTGAGATAATATGGTTAAATAAATAAAGGTTAATATAATTTTAAAAAACATTCTGTTTAAGTGCTTGTGGCTGCATTATTCTGTTCTAGTTCTGACATGACTGTCTGCCTTCACCTCAGCTAATACTGTAGAGGAGCTGCTTTGAGCATCAAAGACTCCCTGTAGGCTTGATATGGAAGCTGTACTTGAATGGTTTCCAACGTGTTTTCTCTGAACTTCAGCAATATCCACTCCACTCGGCCATGAGTTGAGTATGTATCAAACACTGAATCATATTCTTACAAATAAGCTGAGATACTTTTTCTTATTTATTTTCCGTGTCATATTTAAGGAATGAGTGTGAAGAACAAATTGAATGAATTGCAATTAATTGCAAATTCCCTCCTTTCAAGAAAAATTTACTTGCTCTCAAAAAACATTTCCACTGCATTGCAACCCTGCCACTAAAAAAAACGCTGACATCATGTCAGTGATTCGTTAACACAGGTGAGAGTGTTGACGAGGACCATGCTTGAGATCACTCTGTGATGCTGATTGAGCTAGAATAACAGAGTGGAAGCTTTAAAAGGTGCTTGAAATCATTTTTCTTCCTCTGTTAACCATGGTTACCTGCAGAGAAACACGTGTCATCATCGCTTTGCACAAAAAGGGCTTCACAGGCAAAGATATTGCTGCTACTAAGATTGCACCTAAATAAACCATTTATTGGATCATCAAGACCTTCAAGGAGAGCGGTTCAATTGTTTTGAAGAAGGCCTCAGGGCGTCCAAGAGAGTCCAACAAGCGCCAAGACCGTCTCCTAAAGTTGATTCAGCTGCGGGTTGTGAGGCGCAGTGAGGCGAAGACTTTGAGGATGGCCTGGTGTCAAGAAGGGCAGCAAAGAAGCCATAGTGTGAAACAAATGTTTTTATTATGAAGCAGTCACAGGAAACGCAATGTATTTATCACTGGCTGATCGTTTATTGTTCAAATTACTGACTGACTTCTTTATTATAACCTGTGGAAAACAGGCACCTTTTTCCAGGAAAAAACGCCTAAAATAACAAACCCAAAATGAGTCAGGAATAACTCCAACCATTTGGCCTAGATTCATAATAATAATAATAATAATAATAAGTCAGAAGCTAAGGAATATAAATCCATTGTATATTAAAATATTTATTTATATTATAATATTTACTATTACAGACTACATGGGGATGCAATAAAGAAAAAATCTGATATTCTCATCCTCGCCCGGTTAAAAAAAAAAGCTATATTTTAATGCAATAAACCATCATAACGAAGCTTATAATGCAACTGAATATCTTCTAATACACCTAGAATGCAATTGTAACTTTAAATCTGATGAAAATAAACTAAAATACAACAGTTATCATACAACATTTTCAAAACATACCATGCGAATGTCCATATTTTGGCAATGTTTACTCCTAAAATGTTTATCTTTTATTGGGATATCTTTAGAACACTTTCAGTCCATACAACCAAGTTCCAAATAACATAACATTGAAATATTAATAAAAACCATGAGCATTCATCAACTTTCCTGTCACCAAAAGCACTACCATGCTTTACAGGCCTGTAGATTGAGAACAGAACATCCCACAGTGATGAGGGGGGGCATCAATCTATCCAGCTTGAGCAGACCTTTCATCTCCAACGAGTCGACCACAAAATGGCGAAAAACACCGTGTGTTCTCAAGCGGCATGTTTCCTCTCTGCAGAAATGTCGAGAGCAGGCAGGCAGCTCGCAGGTATTGTGCAATAATCAAGATGGCGCTGCTTAGACTCGGAGCAACAACATCGGCGGGTTACCGTTGCCCCCAGTACTGGGGGCGTCTGTTTTCAACAACATGAGTTTGTTTGTTTGACTGCACTGTTAACTGATACACTTTACAGTTACTCTTGTCTTGTATTTCTTACATTGTTAGACTCACAGATGCTATATAAATAACTAAACCTGATAAAACAATAATAAATTCGCACTTGAACTTAACAAAACTAATCAGCACCTGCCTTGATAATAATCAAAACACCCATCTTAATTTTCACTGTGCAGATACTTAACAATTCTAGGATTTTAAATCAAGTCTAGTGTCAACAAATATTTATTACAGACAAACATTCATTACAGACAACTTCTGTCATAGTACCTTTTTTTTAAAACCCCTCTTACACACCACTGTTTCCCTAAAACATACAAACTGTAAACTCAAAGACAGATTAGATCTCAGTGGTATTGTGTAAGGTAACACACGGTGACAAATGTTTAGTTTATAACCCCTGTGAGTGAAAGTATTCCTCTTCATGGTTATAAGAAATATTTAACGAGTGTATTTTCTCTAGTGAAATTGCACAAGAAAAATCTAGTCTTACTGCAAAAGCATTTGGAAGGGATTTGTTAATGGCAGGAATGAACAGGGGGAAAGATTACAGCATATGGCACCCAAATTTCTTTAAGATGGACTTTTTGAACCTGCATCAAAACAGTTTTTGGACCGTCGCAGCAGTCAGTTCAGATGGGTGAGGGATTGCTAGTGATGTAGCGTCCTGTCACACAGAGATAAGGTGCATCCTGATATTGTTACCTTTTACATCAATTATTACAAATTATTTATTATTTTCATTTGCCTTTTGAAAAAGTGTGTACTACACACTGATGCACCAAGCTGAATGTGACTGGATTAGAGAGAGCTATAGTTAAATTAGTTTGCATTTTGTTTCAGTCAATTTAACCATTGGCTTACGCTGAAGAAAAAGACCATGACTGCTTGCAGATGTCCTGTTTAATACCACAGAACACACTTCTTCTTTCTGTGTTATGAAGTGTCATTTCCACTTTGCTGTGACAATTACTTTGTACTTATGTAGTCGCAAATCAAACTCAGCTGTTCATTTCACATTTGCATGTATGTGAATTCTACAATGACAATGGGGGGGTAAAGTAACATTAATGCTCAGCAGAGTTTTGGGGAAGTACACATTCATATAATTCAGCATCAAAGATTTCTTAAATACAGAGTTAAAATCTCGTCCCGTCTCGATCTCTTGAACCCAGTCCCGTTTCTTGTCTCGTGTCGTGGGTGTCTCGTCACGCCCCTAGTAAAAACCCTTGTGAGCAGCCTACTGCCGGTGTGCGAATAGCAAGGATCAAACTAACACTGAACCACAGCAAACGAGGTCTCCATAACAATAAGAAACAGTAGTTCCATTTCAGTCTTTTTGAGTAATGAACAATACATCAGATGTAAAGCTTAATCAGATGGTTGCATTCTTGACATTTAAAACAAAACAGACAAGACCGCTACTGCATGTTGCTACTCGCGCAGCACCTCAGCTTTTGATCAGGCTTTTTAAATGTGCCTTAAAAAGTCCTTCATACCTGAAAGAACTCTTGGTCCCTTGTAGTTCTGCATATCCTCTTAGAGATCTGCAATATTTTGTTTTCACTGTACCAAGAATCTTCTTTGCCGCTGGACGTAAAGCTTTTCATTAGCCTACCTGTGAATGGAACAATTTCTATCACATATTTTCGCAGATTTAGGTTGTCTATATTTCACCATCTTAATACACTGTCTATGGTACTGATGCTGGCAAATGTATCCACTTTGTTTGACTATGTGTTGTTTATCAATTGATGAACATTATTATTTACTTCTGGTGGATTTGACCTCCCTTTTATGTGGTCTTATATTGCATTGAATTTAAAATGTTGTTATTGGCTCTCTTGCAGTGAGGTTAAGTAAATTGACCTGTGTATTTTAACTGAATGTGATACTAATAGCAAAACGCATACAAACTTTTTCAATTGCTGTCGGTCTGGGGTGTGGGTGCAAACAGCTTATGCTGCCTTTTGACCAAAAGAAAAGTCCCCGGATCTCTTTTCAAGGAACTAAAAGGTGTTGTGTGGGTTTCCACCATGGTCCTAAAGACCTGCGGAATTAGGCAAATTAACCAGCTTAAGTAGGCTGTAGGCCTGTACACCGTACAAAGTGATGGACATTATTTAGTAACCACTATCCATGAGCAAAATGTAAATAAACATCAAATTTGATTGGAATATAATGAAAAACTATAGGCTCTGCTTGATCAGTAAAAAACAGCTTTTTGTGTGTGAGTATAATGGAGAGACATGCGATAACGATCATTACAAATTTAATAACACACTGGATAAAACTTCAATTTCTTAAAATAACTCCAGCACAGAGAAAGCAGCACAAATAAAGAAAAAATAAAACAGTTTGGAAGGTTATTAAAACATTTTCATCCGACAAGAGCAGCAGATCAGCTGCAGGACTCACATCACTGTCTGCCTGAGCGTTTGAGGAACGGGATGTTTAATGAGCTTTATTACCTGCGGTAATCAGCTGTTCTGCTTGTTTTGGAGAGGAGACCAACTTTGTAAAAACTTCCTGATTGATGAAAACTTAAAACAACAACAACTTCAGACCCAGTATTTAGTGTAACTCCATCAGCTGTTCGCTGTAGAGCAATACATTTAACTCCGACATACGATCTCAGGCGGACATCGGCGAGACTTGTGTGGCTATTTGACTGTTGATTGTGATTTATTGGTTGCACTGTCCTCTATTGAGTTCAGCAAATAAGGGTGTTGCAGTGCCTCCTGCTGGTTAGTCAGGAGCAGTGGTGGCCTCCGGGCGTCATATACCAACGATGTGAGAAAGACTGACAAAGCGTAGTTATTTTTGACACTAAAGGTACACCGGGTGCG